AAATTTGATGACCTTACTGAAAAAATTCAATTGCTATACGAAGAGATGCAACAAAAACAAATTTCGGGAGATGCTTCAAGTGAATTGACAAATAGTTCTCAAAGTGAGCGTTTTATTTTTTTAAGCCTTTCATATCAATGATCCAGGCTAACCATTTTGTATTTATCCGTTCCAGATTCGAATCGATCATCGTCTTCAAATTCTGAAATTGTGCAAAATTTTAAGAACCTTTTCAATGAAACTATGGAAGAAAACAATCATACTAAATCAGATATGATTAACGAAGTTATAAGAGATCTAAAAAAACAAACAAAAATAAAAGTTATCGGATTCAAGGCTATTGAAAGTTTTTATAATGAAACAACGAAACCCGATGCCAGAACCATAGACGCGATAAAGGCTTGGATTGCGTTAAAAACTAAAGAAAAAAATAAAATCATGAGTAGTGATGGTTACGACTACAATTCTAACGAAATAATAGATTATAACAATAGTAATAAATAGTTTTTACCTGGTAGAGCCAAAGTATAGGGACGTACATTCATGGTCTAGGGGCCGTACGTTCTCTCCCTTGCAACTCTACCGTAAGAAAGCAATATTATCATTATTATCAATGTATCTTAATTTTATTTCGCTTGATTAATATTAAATCATTAAATAAAATGAATCATTCGAATTGTAATTTTTTAAAACATATTTGTGTACGACCCATAAATTCTGGATGTAGTGCGACAATATAAATTATGCATACATGTTTATTTGTGCGATTAACCAAATTCGATTGCTTATCTCATGTACATTCATTTTCTTTGTGTGAGAAATTTTTGGCGTAAATACATGCGCATTGCATTATTACCGTAAAGTCCGAAAGATAGCACTCCCGAAAGATAGCGCCTCTACTTTAAAACAATTGAGCGTCAATATAAAAAAAATGTTACACATATGTAAAAAGGGTATGCTATATTTCGAGATTATACGGTAATCATTCGACAGTTGCAACCGCTTTATATAAACGCGTGGAGTCAGGTGGTTGGACTAGCAACTGTAATCAAGAAGTTCAGAACTTTGTTCAAACGTTTGAAAGAGTGAAGAAGCTTGTACCAATTGAGGATAAAGTGCGCCTAGAGAGACTCCAAAGTTTTGGACAGGGTCGAGATCTAGAACAACGGGTAAGATTACAATAATATTTTGATTTAACTATAGCAATTATGATGATTTTTTTTTTGAGTTTACCGCATATATAGAAGCACATTGGTAACAGATGATCTGGTGAAGATAGTATTTGGGTGCTGTTACAGTGTGTTATCTGCATTTGTGGTTGAGACCAATATCTGTAATAAGGGCCCAATGAAGATATAAATATATCAATACTCTGAACCCGCGCGGGTGTGATTTATCATTATCTATCTTATTTTATTTCTAATAACATATTTTCAACTTTGACTTAGGTAATAATGGCATTCGAAGACATGGCCTCACTTTTAGAGTTAAATGCCTTAGTATGTATAAATAGACTGATTTTTCATTGTTGAACGGATTTATAATATTAAGTTGTTGCTATTTTTGCATAAACAACTGCTATAGAATGTGGATACAGAATCTTGGATCGAAGATGCGGAAAATAATTTAGAGATATTAAAGGGGAACGTAGCCCATGTATGATTATATCTTATGATTTTTTTTTTTCACTATTTTTACTGATATAAGTTCAGGCTTTTGCAAAAGCAAACTCAGAAGCTGAAAAACTTCTATGGGAAAGGCTGGCGAACGACTTAAAAAAAATAGACTTGACACAACTTCCATATAATCACCCTCTATGTTCTGGTATATTTGATATCGAGTCATCACCTATTTCTGATTTGCCAGATTCTCTTCGTAATGTTTTTGAGGAAAATACCAAAAAAAAGTTTTGCATAGATAATAATGAAGCGTTGTTGCAAACTTGCGAAGAATATATTCAAGAGGTAAGTATTAGTTTAGAAGAACCCCCTTTGGAAACATGTGATCCTCCATTCGGTCAGTGGATAGAGCGTCCAGAGAAGTTGAAAATTATAACGAAGCAATTATTGGAAGCATTGTAAGTTTATTAATGACTATATTACTTTGATTGATAAGTTAATCTTCATTTAATAATAATTAATGTAATTTAGACATCAGGTTTGGACCTCGTCGAAATATAAGTCATATATTTTAAATCAGACAGTGATAAATGAAGGATCATACGTTTGTGAAGTTCTGGCACCATTATTTAACATTGCTTTGAGGGATTTACCGACAAAAAACGAAACATGGAAAATATGGTAAGCAAATCAGTTTTTGTTTTAGATAACGTTAAAAAGTATGACATTCATTTCTCAAAAAAATCAGGGGTGATATGGCAAGTTGGTCCGATACTGTGCAGACGGGTAATTCACGTAGTGCATGTAGGCCAGATCTCATGCTTATTGCATTTGTAAATGGTCAAAGGGTTGATATTCTAAATTTGGAGACTGGTCGTCCAGATTCCTCTAAACGAAAACAAGAACAAGATCGTTTAAAGCTAGTACGACTCGCAAAGAATTCGATGGATTTTGCAAGAGATTATCTTAAACAATTTATAAAGAAGGGGGTATTGACTAATTTGCTATCAATATTTTCTATCAATATCGCAGGTAAGTGGGCGTAAAATTGGTTTATTATCAAATAAATCTAATAAGTAATGCTATGTATGGATTCCATCCGATGTTTTTAGGAGACGATTTAAGGATTTATAGCATGCGTATGGAACATGGTATTCTCAGAAATTGTTTGCTGACTCGAGCGACTATACCATTACATATGGTATCAGCTGATGCTGTCTACCCACTTATCCATTCATTGCTCACTTTAAGGGTATTTTTTTTTAATCTTCCTAATAATATGCGTTATAAGATTCTGGTAAATCATTATCATTTTTCACGCATGACAGACCGCAATTATAGGTATATTATTGAAACTCCGTGTTTATCTTGAGGGAAACGAAGTTGAGAATAGTGATAATCCTGATGAAAAAATAGCTTGAACAATCATAGCACCAAAGAGGCGTAAATCTAGTCTAAAATTGAGAAAAATCAGATCAAAAAAATAACTATTTTTATCATCAACAAAGCTATACATATTAATATTTGATCTCACCCGCTGAGAATGCCCGAACCGATATTATTTACCTCTAAATATCTACATAACCCCCCATAATCAAATACCGCCTTCACGTCTTGCGTGTTCTTATTTATAATTGTTATAAAATCTTCGTCAATTCTATGCATATACTTAACCAGATTTTCGAATTGCATATACTGCGTAGGATTATCCGTAAATATTCCTAGAGTTTTACGTCTGTTATTTTTAGATTTGCGACCCATATTTGACATATATATAATATAAATAAACGACTTCAATTTTTTTTATTTTATTTTGAATTTCAATTTTTTGCAAAAGTGATTGTAATCCGCATTAACGACATCAAAAAATTATGATACCATAGGATCTTATTTTATTGACATAAAAACGTTGCTAAAACAACGATATATAAATAAAAATTATATAGATTGATCGAGTTTTACATTTGATCTAACATATCGTCCAGTTTACCAGGATTCATAATAACATGGTCATCATTTTCTCTATCTTCTAATTTTTCTCTCGAAAGATTTTCCCAGTGTCTACCATTATCAACGTTATAGTCATCGTCTTCTAAGGAGGGATTATAGGTCGTCAAATTATCTGATTTAATGCATAGAATACACAGGTAAAATGAGAGTTAGTCTTGCTAATTTCACTAATATATGAAGAGCATTTTTTAACGAAGACACTTACCAAAACTATCTTTCTTATTTTTGCGATTGGTTTTAGATGATTTTGGTCTAGAAGATTTTTGTTTGAACGATGTTGAGTTATTAGTATTGTTAGTATTAGAATTGCTAACACTGGTAGTATTAGAATCGCTAACATTGGGAGCATTAGAATTATTAGTATTACTCATTTTGCGCTTCTAAATATAAAAATTCATAATTAGTAGAATATCACTTTCTTTTTTGTAACATAAATGCCCAATTACATTACCTTAGAAATAAGTTGCGAGTATTTTTTGAAAAAAAATTATATAGTAGCGATGTTATTGCTAACCCACCTCATAAATCCAGTTTATTTATATTATTTCATTCGTTAAATCTGAGAACCTGCTAGAAGAAAAAATAGATGATTAGTAATTACGTTATCCTGACATTTCTCAGATCTTTGCTCCATAAAGCAATTCTATTAGAATCATAAGTGCCAAGTACTGAATATATTTCGTTATTTATGGGAAATTAAACCTTTCAGAATGACGATCGCTTTTGTAGAATAAAAAATAAGACAAATTTTGGCGATCTCGGAATGGGGAAGATCTCAAGTTCCGTAACATATGAATTTTGATATTATTACTGATAAAGAACAATAAACTCTCCTCATTCATATCCTTTTTGGGTCCCATTTGTATTTTTTTCTTATCGGAAAAGCTATCTACAGTAAGGAAAAGGCTTTATTAATTAATTCATATATATAGTGAGAAAATAATTTAGCGGTGTCACAGAAATAATCTTGTGGAACAAAGACTCAAATAATTATATGAATCGTTATTTATTTCTTCACGAAAAATAAACCTGGTTCTATCATTATATCGAACAAAAAATGAATCGTGATATACATATAGTTATAGTTGATAAAATAATAGGTCTAAACCCTAAATACACAACAAAGTACATAATTGTTAAAACGCACTATAATCACATCGAAATAAGTCTTATAATATAATCACTATAAATTATAATTGATAAATATGTCTGGTTTTGATATTGCAACAATTCTCGATAAGAAAGATAGAACATTACCCAAACCCTTTAACATTCGTCCTGGATATGATATGAAATATGTCGTGTCATATATTGGAAATTATTTTGCTTTTGATGGAAAACGATATGACGAACTCTTCGATAATGAGAGATTATTTGATACTTTATCTATCATAAAACAGAATGAAACACCAGTTCAATGGGCAATACGGGTGAGAGTACCTTTACAGAATTTATTAAATGCTGGAAAATTTAGTGTATATCATCAGTTATGTTTATTCGCATCATTTGGTAAAGGTAAATTTAATAATTTCAATTATTATAGGCCAAGAATCCACAAAAGTCATATGGCTATTTGTTTTGGTTGCTGGAAACTCATAAAAATCGATGATGTACAGCCTAAAAAAACATTCCATTTTACTAGACAAAGATATGTTGATCGTCTCGTATCTAGTGATTTGATGATCAGTCATTGGGATAATGAATGTGATAAACCAAAGACCGATTTCGGAAAAGCAAGGATTATACAAAGAGCCTGGAGAAATTACAAGAATAAACCTAAGTCATTAGCCACTCAAGTTTGGAACGCTTTAAAAACGGATGATTACCCCAATGATAAGAAGTTTTTAGGCATAACTCCTCAAAAGGTAAATCGTCCTTCTGGTTATGATTATATTGACTATAAGTCTAAACGTTTATCTTGGCATTCTAATAGTCCTAAATTGTGGGCAGAATCCAAGAAGTCACTTTTAACTTACAGACTATATGACTATGTGGTAAATTTATTGCAACAAAATGGATACAGATTAATTGGTGGTAGGTCTTGGTATGTGATGCTACGATGGGTAGAGAATCCTGATAAATATCTTAATAATGGCTGTCGAGACTTTGTCAGAATATAACTATTTTACATATCTATTTATTATATAACTTATTCATATATATCTATTTAAAATAAAACCACCTAAAGTATTCCTGAGAGCTAGTACTTTAGACTTTATTTCGATACCCCTTGAGGGGTGGTATCTTTTTTTGTACCAGATTCCCATGTAAACCGAAAATATGTGTCTCTGACACTAGCTCTGCTATTGTTACTTATTAAATTTTGCAACATCTAGATTTCATATGTTATTCGAAGTTCATAGAACATCTACATCGTGCAAATATGGTCAGTTGATGTCTTGTGTGACTATATGCAGGGAACCCTAAAATTGGATTAACCACACATGGTTTAGATTCTTAAAATCATTATTTAATGTATATTTCGATTTTTTCCCATATATTACTATTACTATTAGTGTCAAAAATATTCATGGATCTCTTCAGATTTTTGCAAAGATGTTAACCTTGCTAGCTCTGCTAATGTATACTCGAAAAAGGTAGATCGCGAAAGATCAAATGAATATTACTTTTTTCCAATTAATCCTAAAATTCGAATTAGCAGTGATTAGAAATGATTTACTATATTTTAATATTATGATTTACTATATTTTAATATAATGATTTAATATATTTTTAGCGTGATTCTAGCTCGACTCTAGCACAAGTATGATATTTTACATATAATTATATAGAAAAAATTCTAGCACGACTCAACCACATTTAAATCTGATGATGGATTACCAATTTCGGAGTAATAACACACAAATAAAAAAGATCAATTACAAAAACGATTATGGAATTATATAGACCATTTTTTTTTTTGCCTGCAAACTTTTTGCGCGCAAACTAATATTCAATGTTTCATCCTGATTACAACCCCATTATAGCGAAGCTTCCAAAAAGTCTAGTCAAGAGGGCATACCATAGGCTTTTACATCACTCTAGATCCCCCGTTACCTCAAAGCAAATTTCTGAAAAATGCGATCGAATTGAGGCTTATTTGTATCATACATTAGAGGTATATGAAAAAGGATTAAATCGAAAACGTAAAAAACAAATCCAAACTATGCCTCAAAGAGGCGCCCCTTATGGGCCAGAACTACTTGAAAATTTATCATATAATAACAAAGCTAGTGTCAAGACATATATAGATATGACTAATCAAGAAACCCAAACCCAGAATATTAATCCGATCTGCACCTGTAATCAGGCACGTAAGTGTCCTTGCTTCGCATGTGAGGAAGAAATCAATCGTCGTGTTAAGAAAGAATTAGATATTTTATGTCGACGATTACTTGAATATAATGAAGAAACTTTTGGTAAATTTATGCGAGAAATTACTATAGAGCATGAAAAGCGGGTTAATGAAAATAAGAA